CAGGATTCCTGAATTCTCACCCTATGCTTTCACTGCTTTTATTTGCAGTATTTGGTGGAGGTGGCTTTGAAGTCTCATCAACTAAAAGAATTCTTGAGTTTTAACTGCAGGTATGTCAGGGGTACAGAGTTTGTTTGGATTTTGGAGAGTTAATTTTCAGGTGAAAATATATTTCGTAATTTTATTTTCTGATTTCTGAATTCAGGTTTGACATCTCTGCTGTCTTCCAACTAGGAATGAACATGTACTATTTTTAACCACACTCTGGATCCATCCCTGGCTTGCTTCTAAAGATAAATGGAACCACATGTCAGTCCTTACATAAGTTGGTCTAAGGCCATTTCAGTTTTTATGTTTCTTCTACTTAGTATTGTTACATTCATGAGCACCTTCAAAAAACTTAGAGGAATTATTTATTTCATATTCAACAGCAGAATCTGTCTAGTTGGGCAGCTTGTTTGTAGAATCAGTCTCATGGTCAAAGAGGACAATTGTAAACTAATGTGCTTGAAAAGGAAATTTCTTATTAATCCCTGTCATTTAATAGTTAATAATATTTTATTAATTTGTATCTTCCCTGATAAGGCTGTGCTCTGTGTATTCATACAAGTTTTGTGTTGTTGGTTTTTTTTTTTCAAATCAGTAAAGAATGTGCCATTTTTTTTGTATTGTGTCAATGTTCTGCAGGCTGTGTATAGATATACGCTGTGTATAAATGGAATTTATTTCCCAAGTTTATATTTTTTGGTATTCAAGCCTTGACTTTCAGTTAATGAATACAGGGCTTTAATTTTAGACATAATTTTAAGCTCTTATTTCTGACACTGATTTGGTGCATTGACAACAGAGATGATAACTGATAACAGAGGTGAAGGCTATGAAGTAGTTTGAGGATTTGATGCTGTAATAGATTTGTTGCATGATTTGAGCACATCATTTGAAGACAAATAGGAAAGAATCAACATATCTACAGATGGAGTTTGGTAAGGCTTTTGAAATTCCCTCCTATGACACCTCATAAGAAAGGGAGGGGTACGTTGTTCGGCATAAACTACTGAAAAGACATGGTTTTAGATGGCCAATTGTTAAAGAAGAGCACCTCAGCTCAGAGGTTCCTTCTGGTTCTGATAACATGCAATATTTTGACTAATGGCTTAGCTTATGGAATAGAGAGTGCACTTTTCAAATCTTCAAGATATGAAGGGCCATAAACATTTTTTTCTCAGAACAAGATTAGAATGCAGTAAGAATCAATGGACGTAGAAGAAAGCTCACAAGTGAAGTCACAAGTTGGAGAAGGACTGGTTAAGCAGCATTCTGCTGCCATAAGAGAAAAAGCAAGGGATCTTTGCTGCAATGTACAAGCAGGTGTGTGATATCCTAAAGCCAATGCTGGTCAGACCTCAGCTGGAGTGTTGTGCCCAGATTTGTGCACTGTTCTGATGCAGACCTACAGGAAGAAACACAGAGAGAATAATAAAAACAACTGGAGGTCTAAAGAACATCATCTATGAGGAAAGATTAAAATAACTGTTTATTTCTTGAGAAAATGGAGGGATGCTATCAAATACCCTGAAGATGGTTGCTTCCTGTATCCACTGAGACAAGCTCATTACCTCTTTTCCTACACTGCAGCAAAGGAGATTAGGTTAGACTTTGAAAAATACTTCTAACTCCAAGGCTAGTTCAGCACTGGAATGTACTGCTTGGGGAGGCTGTGTTGTCTTCTACCACTGGAAGTTTTGAGAAGGAACTTCAGGAACAGTTAATATCCATCCTGCTTGTTTTCTTTTATTTTGGGGCTTTCTTAGTGGGTAGATTTGAAGAAAAACACAGACCTCACTGGTTTTAACATTCTATCAGTTGAACAAGGAAAGCAGCATAGAGATAAGTTTTTAGGACTCCCATAAGGTGGATGCTTATTTATTTCAATGTACTGATTAGATTTACTTTCCAAATGCTTTGCTAAACATTGAACAAATACGCCTGACTGGGGAACTATGGTTCCCAAAACTGCTAGTACTAGTTCAGTTGATCTAGTAGAAGTGGGGAAAATTTTCTAAAATAGGTAAGACTTATAGTCTCTGTACCTTTTTTGTAGGTAGTGGATCATTCTTTATTTTATTTCACTCTACTATGGGGTTGCAATGCACATGTGACTACTATTAATAGATTCAACCTTTAGTTTTCTTGAGTTTATTGTTTCATAACATCTTCATAGAAAGGGAGGTAATAATTACAATTTATTCAATATTAAAAAAATAATAAAATAAACAAGTAGGAAACACCATAAGCAAAGAGAAAATGAGATTTTAAAGTTTATTTGCTTTATTTATCCATGAAATTGTTGGGACATCCTCCCCTACTACATGTTCCAACATCTACAAAGACAACAACCACTTCATTCTTTTATTCTTCCCAACCTCTAGGAGGAAAAAATTCATTGGCATTTGTGCTTCTGTTTACAGGTGAGAAATTAAATTTAACTAAATTCAGATCAAAGAGAAATGATGTACTTGGTTTCTTTAAAGCCCTGCAGCCATCCTTGCCTTCAACAGAGAAACCTGTCATGGTCTCAGGCTACCTTCTTGTGAACTACCTTTGTCTTTTGCATTTTTTCCTCCCTGAAACGGGTTTCTTAGGTCCTGTGGACTGTAACTATTAGGAAAGGAAACAGCCATGTTTGAAGATACAGTCTCTCAGGCAGATGGCTCAAATGCAACAGAAGACATGGATAGACAGAGGTGGAGTTCAGGGGAACTCCGTGCAGTGCAAGAACTGTTTGCAATGATGTTTGTCATGTCTTGCACCAGTATGACTGGAGAGAAGCTACATGAGTGAGATTGTCAGTTATAAGTATATAGATTGCTGTGGCCAAGTCTGTGTCAAGATACCTATTCAGCATTCTAGCTAGCTGAAGAATTTCTGATTTGGGGCAGTTAACCACACTAAGGAGTTCAAAATAAACAGATGAATCCTTGTCTTGACTGTTCCCTTGCTAGTGGGGTTACCCTTGCCTCAGGTAACTTCAGGCATCTCAGTTCTCGATGCCTGGAGGAGTAACCATGCCCTGACACTGATGTGCAGCTCATCCAAGGGTTGGATAAAAATAGAGTATTAAAATATCTTTTTCTTCCCCCCCCTCCCCTCCCCCCCCCGCTACTTCTCTTATTTATGACTCTGGATTTAATTCAATTTATTTAAATTTTTAATTTTAACCATATAAATTTTGCTTTCTTGGTTTGTTGCTGCCTATTATACAGAGCAAAATACAGAACTACCTGACAAAATAAATCTGTTGGTGATTAATTTTAGCACAGTCAAATGTCTTTGGAACTGTATTGCTTTTATTTCTTGAAATGCAAGATGTTTAATCTGGTTAAGATAGCAGATTTTTCATGCCAAGCACAGTCATTGTACAGGATTAAGAACTATAGGATTACAGATCCTAATTATAGACTCTTGTTGGTTTACTAAGTCTTAATAGGTTGTTTTCAACTTCTTGTCACGGCTCTTTTGCAATCATGTTTTTAATGAACTTTGACGCACCTAATTTGTCAAACCTGTATTCTGATAGCATTGCCTGGTTTCTATTGCATGTCAATATTAGCAAATTAAATAATTTAAAGGTTCAAGCTCCTGAAACTGAATATCTTTTCTCTATGAGGCTTTTCATGACAAACTTCCAATTATTACTATTTGATATTCCATTTCTTGCACTGCTTGGTTTCTTGGTTTTCAGATTTCTTCCAGAAAAGCTAGAAATGATTATTTTCTGTAGCCAGTTTTTCTGCCTGAGCCCCCTTGTAGTCAGTGTAGATTTACATACTGAAAAGTAATTTAGAAGATAATACTATTTATAGGTATTGTATTTACTTTATGAGGAATGGCATTGGTACGTTTGCCTTTTGACATCCTCTTTGTCATATTGTTTTGCTTTCAATGAACTTCTTGCTTGATGGGGAATGTGTCACAGAGAGCATTATTCATCTGCAGCTATGTCCTGCAGGACTGGCCGAACAGGATTCTTTCAAGTTCAGTGGAAAGCTGTCAAGATAATTAAAGTTTCAATTATTGACTGGAATGCGGCCTCGATGCCTTAACTGATGAATGGGATAAGATCCTGTTTACATTAGCTTTTTGCTAAAGTTCCTCACCATGCAGCACACGGTTCAGTTCAGCTGCACTACCACCAAGGAAATTATGTTGTCCAGCCAATACTGCTGTCACTTGAAGCATATTTTTTGGCACTGTAATCAGACCAGTAAAATGGAGTCTTATTTATAGCAGCTTTGTAACATTTTGCCTATTGCCTTTAAAGACATAGGACACACAAAACAGTACAGACCAGGACTTCAAAGGAAAAATGTGAAGGTTGCACGTTAACCTCTGAAAAGCTGGAAAATTGCACTAAGTACAGTGCTTGTGTCAGGGTGGCAGTAATAATGGCTTAAGGCAAGCCAAGATGAGAGGTTGTAGAAATAGCTCTTTATCAGACAAACTACCAGAGCTCGAAAAACACCTCTTTTTAGCAGGTGAGTCCTCTATATGGCCTGATTCCAGAAATTTTGTGTGTAGAGTTCAGTCTCAAAGCGTGATCTGGAGCAATGCATGTCCTACGAATGAAAATTGCTGGATAATCATCCGACATATCTTTCATTTTCTCATTTTTAATTGTGCAATCCCGTGCCTCTGTTACTGCATGCCATTAAACGCAGAATTATTAACTTCCTCGTGTTGCCTTTACGGCAACAAAACACTCAGACTTTCAACAGCCCTGTCCTCGCCTGCCCTTGAACAGAAGAGATGTTTTAACCCTCCCTTCCAGGCGATGAGTGGAACGCCTGCCGCAGCCCGGGGGATTCTCCCTCCCCGGCCCCGCTCCCCTCACGGAGCTCACTCCCTGCGCTCCCGTCCGGCCGCCAGGGGGCGCTGGCGGGACCGCGCGCACCTGCCCCCCCCCCACCCCGCTGCGGGCGGTGCGCACGCGGTGCGCACGCGCGGCGCGGCCCCGCCCCGCGGGTCGGCTGAGGGGACGCGGCGCGGCGGCGGCGGCCGCTGCTCTCCCGGGGCTCGGCAGGTACGTGCGGCGGGGGCTGCGCGGTCCCGGCCCTACCTGCGGGAACGGGGGCCGGCTGTCCGGGGCGCGGCTCTCCGCTAGCGCCGCCGCACGTGCCGGGCCGCGCTGCGGCAGCCCGTGCCTGCGCGGGCGGAGCCGGCGCCGCCGGGGAGCGCTGCCCCTTGCCGGGGCGCCGTGAGCGGGCGCTGGCGGGCTTTGGGGGCTGTTGGTCCCCGCCTGGAAGAGCGTGGGGACAAGAGTCGGCCCGGGCCGTGCCGTCGTGTCCGTCTGCGGCAGGAGGGCGCTCTCGGCTCCGTCGGCGTTTGCGTGGGCGCCGAAGGGGCAGCCGGCGGCAGGGATGCGCTTGGCCCCGAGTCCAGCCGCGGCCCTAGGCAAAACTGGACAGAAGTAGTTCTCGGGGATCGCCCCGGGAAGTGCCGGGCGCACCTGCCCCGGGAGAGCTGGGGGCGGACAAAGGGCTGTCGCACGCCCGAGGCCGGCGCGTCGGAGCTGCCGCTGTCGTGCCCCGGCGCTGCGGGCGGCGGACGCCGGGGAGACGAGGCGGGCGGGAGGGACTGGAATGAGGAGGGCAGGGGTGCGAGGAGACGCTGAGCTGGAGCTGAAGGCTGCATCTCCGCTCACAGACCTCTCGGCCGGCGGCGCGGCCGGTGCGGTTCAGGTGCGAGCGCCGAGAGAGGTAGAGGGGGGAGGGAAGAGTCGGGCAGGGCCCCTCGGGGGGTTCGCAGATTTCGCCCCCCTCGAGAGGTGCCGGAGCAACGTGGGTAGAGACCAGAAGTGTGGGGCGGTGGACCTGCTCTCGCCTGTAGCGCTTCTGGTTGCTTTATAGTCTGTCGAGCAATATTGAGGGTCATACCTGGTCGCCGATAAGTGGTTTTGTAAGCTCTGGTAGTTAAGTAGCAGATCTCAGTTAGCCTTAATTTTTAATGCAGCTACTTTAGAGAGTAAGGCTCAGAAAGTAAATTCTCGTTACAAGTTGATTTCAAGTGTGGAAATTCGTGCCCCCGAAGTGCTGATGCTCCACTAACTCCCCGAGAGTCGCAGGGCTCTGGAAGCAGGAGAACGCCGAGTGGCCAAAGCCTTAATGATGCCCTCGATGTTCGTGTTGCTGAAAGAAAGCAATAGTATTTTCATCAGTTTGAGAGTGTTGACTGTTCTGTTTGCAGATAGTGTATTAAGTTTTGTGTTGCTTGTTTTGTTCGCTGTGTTCATTTGTAAGCGTGTTCTTAGGAAGTCTCAAAAACAGTGATCTAGACAGATAAAATAATTAATTTTCCACAGACTTCCTGTAACTGAAATTATCAGCTTCTCTTTTGAAGCAGATGTAAGGTTATTCAGACTAGAAGCATGTATTGGCAGCTACCATGTGTTCAAATATTTGTATTCCTCACTACAGGGCAAAACCTGAAATCTTGTTGCTTTAACGTTTTTATTGTTGTTTTTATTATAGATCTGTTTAATGAGTTCTGGGAGGCGTTAAAGTTAGGCCTTTTGTATTTGTGTCTTGGCAGTCATTCATCTGCTGTGCTTGGTTAATGTTACCTAGTGAGCAAAGAAGAATAAATAATTTACTGTTCTCATTATGCTTTTAATAAATAACAAATGGGAGTGCACCTTACAGCTGTGACTGGAATATCTATCTTGTTACACTATATTTAAAAAGGGGAATTATTTCTGTAGAAGAGTCACAATAAGCCTTTTGATTATAGACTTGTACCTATCTTCATAGCTTTTACTGACTTGATTTAAAAATTGATGTAAAATACCAATGAGCTCGTTGCTCAGTGTTCCGCTTAGGTTTATGGATTTTCCCAGAAAAGAAATGTGTACATTGGATTTTTATTTTTAAGACCCTTTTTACTGTGGAACTTAAAATGTGGTAGTACTGTAACTTGACTGTCAAGACTTGTATTAGAGACTTTATTGCACTTAATAATATGCTAACCATTTTTTCATGAATTAAGAAAATATTTCTTGAAATGCATTTGCAGATACAACATCATGAAAATCATGATAACTTTTACTTGAGTTTATTTACTGAATATTTTCAGTGTTAAATGAAAATTAGTCTTCAGGTCCAAGTCTTGGCAAGAATGACACTACAGTCACTGTGGTCAGGCTTAAACCTGAGATGAGATTGTGAAGTTGTTTGCAAGATAAGGCTCTGCCTTAAAAAGAACAGCATCTGCAAAGAGAATCATATTTCCAGTTTAATTAACTTGGTTTAGAGAGTCTTTGTGAACAGAACAGCATTCTTTGAATGTTAGATTACAATAAAAGTTTGCAACATTCTACTTTGCAAAGCACTGACTTTTCTCCCTAGTAAGAGGTGTACTATCAACTAGACTCTAAACCATGTTTATTTACAGGTTTCACAAGCACTTCATAAATGTAGATCATTGAATCTTGTGTGCTGCTTGTTTCTGGAAGAGAGACACTTGTTGTCTGCACCTGTCAATTTTTCTAACTGAAGATCTATAATAAAGTTTTTAAAAGATTTTTTTTAATCATCAGTTCATCAAACCAAAAATCCCTTTAACTTTATAAAATCTTGCTATCAAGTGGACTATGTGTTATTTTTAAAAACAGTGTGGAATAGTGTTTTGAATGCCTAACGTGAGAGTAAAAAATAGGAAAAAGACCCACATTATAGCATTATATGACAAAACTGGAGGGAATGCCATAGAAAAATATTCTTACATTGAAACAAGTGTAGTTTTGCTAGCTGTTAAATTCTGTAGATTTGCCTAACTTAAAATTTACCCTCTATTGACCATCTTGCCTAATTTATCAAGTTGGTAAATATGTGGTGTAAGGTCACTTCTAAATAAAAATAGAATATATAAAGACTGGATGGAGTGGTTCGTGGTTTTCTTTTCTCTCATATCTTACCAACTCAAAAAAAAAAAAAGGTGTATTTTGGCCCCTGAAGCAGAAACTTCTGTCATAATTGCAAAATCGTAAGGGTGAGAATTACTTTTTGCAAACCTTGAGGAAATTCCTATGCCAAATCTTGAATTGTGTTCACGCAGTCAACTGGCATCAATAATGGTGTTTAAACTTGCTTTAATTCTGTGGCTGAGCTTAATAATAGAGCAGTTTACGAAAAAAAGTCCACCAAACTTCTTTGTCCTGTGCCTACATCTGATGAGTATTTCATACTGGATGGATGTGATTGAATTGGTTTTGAACTTGAAATTAACACCTGTATATGCCTTACGACAATTTTAATTTTAAACTGCCTGTTTGCATCTGATAGGCATGAAGTAACTGTGCTTAACTGAACTGCTTCTTTAAAAGGTATTCATTAGTCCACGACTGTAATTCCCTACTGAGTTCTTTAGAGCTTAAAACATATTACATTTGAGAGTCTATAATGCCAAATATTTAAAAATATTTTTTTCTAAGCCCACTGAGAAGAATGCAGACCCAGTGGTGGGCTAATGCCAGTCTGTTTGAGAAACCGCTACAAAAAAATCCACTTTCCTGACCCTTCCCAAATTAACTGAAGCAGACATAGGAGTCTAACAAATGAAGTCTTTGGGACTATTACTTTTTGAAAGGCCTGTTGCATGGAGATTAAACCACTGTAGCTAATAGGCACCTTTTTTTATAAATGCCAACTACAATTTACTCTTCATCAAAATGTTTAGAAACATTAACTTTTTCCTTATGGGATTTTTTTCACTTGAGCAGGTAGTCATTCTGTTGTGATGGTACATTTTACCATCAAAACTAAAAATGAGATTTCTGATGCCTGAAATGTTTGGTGTTGGCATTGCTTTTAAATAGACTGTAACAGTTACCAGATTGTTCAGAGCTGTCATCTTCAAGATGTCTCATATTTAAAAGCAATCTGTGAAAGACAAACTCCAGAGTTTGTAGTAAGTGGTTTTCAACAATTTTTTCTTATTTTTTAAAAGGAAACAAACCACAACAAATTACTGCTTTTTAGGGAGCTTTTTAGTATTTAGTTATTGAGTGGTTTGATTCAGTCAAGTAGCTAAACCCCTCTTAGAATAATAATAGAAAAATTAGATTAAGCATTTTGTTTTCACTGCTGTTGAAAATGTTTATGGTTCTTGATTCCTGTTAGAAGCTATAGGAAGTGTTAAGATGACTGTTGATAAATTGATTTCTTTGTAGTATGTTTTTGTTTACTATTAGATAAAATAACAGATTTGAGTATAGTTTCCTCATGAAGTTATGTGGTTAGTCGGCAGTGGAAGTAATAAAAAGCTACAACATTTGACAGCTCCCACTAAATTTGCATTATTTCTAGATAAAAGCATAAGGAAATTAATTTATTTTGTTGTTCCATCCTGCTTTATTATGGTACTTGATTTTTTTTTTATGTGATCCAAATTATAATATCAACAAAGATAAAAATAATCATGTGTTTGGTAGGCAGTAATGCAAATCCAAGCTTTCACCTCATATTAACCTGATAGAAAAAGTATTAAGAAAATTCATTATTTTATTTAATAAGTGGGCTGCCCTGAAATATCAAATATCAGCTCTTGTTCACAGTAGCACAGAACTACTACCAAAGAGTGCTGTGTCAACACTGTGCTTTTTTTACACACTGTCACCTTGGCTCCCAGTAAAGCTCTCCATTTACCATTTGCTTCATGTTCCTTCACAGCAAGGCTGTTCATTGCTGCCTTAATCAATAATAGGAATCCCCACCCCACAAAGTCTTAAGGAAGCCTCTAATCTTTAATGACACTGAAATTTAATGTGCCTTCTCTCCCCTTCTTTTGCTTACCATAACTTTGAAGAATTCTTTTCCCAAAAGAGAGCTATTATTTTTAGAACCACTTGGCTTTTTGCACGTATGTTTGGTTTCATTAAGGTGTAATGTGTCTTCAGCTGGTGCCTTGGTAACAGCCTAATGGTGTTGGTGAGTCTTGAAACTGAGATATTTGATATGGGCTCCTTTGTCTTGTCTGGGTGGTGTACAGGGCTTCTGCCTGCTCACTGCCTAGTGAGAAGTAATGCTAGGAAAGAAGAAAGTTGTGAGTGGAAAGTGTTTTACATAGATGGTTTGCTTATGACTGCCCATTTGACTGGCTGTGGGAAAAGCTTAGCTGAGGGACTTCGTTTTCAGCTCTTCCAGGAATAACTTTTATAACTTTTTTACTTGCTGTATCAGAAAGAGCTTGTTTTTTGGTAGCTGAGAAGTTATGCGTGGATTTAATTACTCATAAATCTCTTGCCTGTTTAGGGTGATATAGATCTTTAATGTACAAGCAGAGTGATAGTCGTGTGAATAAAATTTCATAATCTTTTTGGTTTAAGCTATTTTTTTTTCCCCTGTTAAAAATACTGCAGGATATTTTGCTTATCATAAAGTGATGTGATGGTCTAGAGGGACAGCTAGAAATGCATTTGAACATTTGCAAGATAGTAAGCAGGCTTCCAAAGGTTTTTTCTCTGTGTGAGCCAGCCTGACCTCCTGCACTTCATAATTTAGCTGAATTTGTGTCTGTTATCACAAATATATGGAATCTGTATATAGATGCAGGTGCATCTTTTAGCCTGTTGCTTACTCAATGTACTTAAAGTGTTTGCTCCAAAGAGATAGCCCTAAGGTTTGTACAGAAATAGTAAAATACATTAAAAACCAGCAAATAAGCTTTTCCTGAGCCTTTTTTTTTAACTTGGAAAAAGTGTTTTCTAAAAAACAATTTTTGGGAAAAAAAAATTGCATGGCAAAGTTCAGCCCACCATGCAACTGAAAACAATCAGTGGTATTAGTGATGTGAAATTCTATGGTACCTCTATTGAATATCAAGGGAGATTGTGAGTTTTCAGGGCAGCTAGGAATATGTCTTTCAAACTTGAAATAGAAACTAGTCAACAGAGTGGAATATGTGGCAGAAGAGTTGTTCCTGTTTTGCTCTCATTCGGGTCTTAATCTTTACTTCTGTTGTGGGGATTTGGGTGCACTTTCCCAGGTGCTGTAGACTTAAAAAAGGCAAGGCATTTATCCAGGCGCCCTTTCCACATCCCTATTCAGAAGCCTGTGTCTTTTGTTAATGGTGAGGACCGGAATCCAAAGAATCAGGAATTGGAAATGACATTTTGGTGTTGTTGCTGGTATGGTGGTGTTGGGTACAGCTTAATTGATGGTCAAAAAAGAGGAGAGTGGTAGAAACATCGAAAGGGAATATGTTTGTGTGGATATGAACCTGACTTTGAGACCTGCAAGATGGATATTTTTCAGCTGGGATGATGAACTATAAAGAGCTGTTTCTGTAGTTTTTATTTTTTCAAGATGGCAGTATTTTAGCTTATTAAATGTAAAATAATGACATGTAATAGTTGCACTATTCTCGAAATTTAACTTTGAAAAAAATGTCCTGTAGCTCTGTCAGTCCCTTCATTTTAATTTGTTGACTCAACAAGCCGTATCATCATGTAGAGCATGTAATTATAATGCTTCTAATAGTTAAGAACTATAATGAAAACAAACAGCAGTATTTGCTGAAGTTACTTAAACTCAAAAGTAAGCTTTTAATTTCTGTGTTATAGTAGAAAAACTCCAAAGCGCAAAACTGTGACAATGTTTTATGTGTGAATCATGTTTGTACAACTGGTCCTGATAGTTCAAAATAAAACGAATTTCTGCATAAAATTTTCTGCAAAAAAACCCCTGACCCAAAATGTCCCTTTTTATTCACGTAAGGTCCTTTTTGTCCCTTAAGTCTGGAGGGGCCTTTTTTTTTTTCCTGGGAGGAATTAACAGAGAGAAAAATTAATAACATATTCTTGCTATCTGAACAACTGAATTTCTTCCACATATGCCTGCCAGTGTGGTAAAGTTACTTGTTTAGCACTGGTAAATACACACCGCAATCCTTGAGATTCAGAACAGTTTTGAACAGTGTTCTTTAAGCTTAAGATGACCAGAAAGTATTAATGTGACTAAAACACTACTTCATATGTAATTTGGGGATTCCATTCATGGTGTTTTCTGCGTGTTTTATGAAGTAACTCATGAACTGAATGTACATGTAAGTTGATGTTATAGTCTCTTCATGGTTATAACTGTCAGCTTTCTAGATCTTCTCCCTGCCTTGTGTTTTCCAATATAAGATCCAAACTACTTTTTCTGTAAAATGCAATGTATTATTTTGTTTCGATGCATGGTTCTTTTTTTGCATGTTAAGAACCTTTTTGAAGCCTGAATTTTCTCTCTTCAGTATTTCAATAACACGGAAAATGTTTTGGGGTTTTTTTGCAGTGTACAAGCACTGCTAAGTAATTGCTTCACAGATTTCTCCATACTACTTCCAACTTAAGTTCCGAATTATGCAAAGGCTTTTGTCATCTCTGATAAACTGATGGAAAATAGGGCTTGTAATATCCATGTGCTGTACTTGTTTTCTGTTGATCTTATGAAAAGCATATGTAATTAAAAAATAAATTGAAAGATATTGTCAGTTAAATTGCCAATTCGTAGTACTTTTTTGCCTATAATATATTTTTGGTATGATACTTCTTCACAATTGTCATGATCACTTAATTGTGTGATGTATTAAATATACGTCATCATACTTCACAAGAAGTCTTATTGGCAAAGTCTGTCATTTCAGTGAACGGTTACAAGATCAGATGAGTAATTTAAACAAGACTACTATGGACTGTAATTTATTTAAAGGTTCACTGATTTCTGTCCTAGATTATTTGCTTCATTGAGATTAAAAATGGAAGCTTTAGGTTTAATTTTTTTTTTTCTTCACTAATTCCCAGGTCTCTCCTGCTTTCATTAATGAAATATGTTTTGATACAAAACAGCTCTAGGCTATATTAAAGATTACTTTGTTTTATGTTGTAGAATGTGTTCTTGATTTTATCATCCCATTTAGATGCAGTCTGCTTTTAGATCAACAGTGCAATGTGTGGAAAAAACCATTTTTGATGTTTGAAGTTCATACTTTTGCAAGAACAGTCCACAGTTTCCTTTCTATCATGAAGTATTCTGAACATATTTGAGTGGTTTTTTTAATTCAGATAGCTGTCGGATATAATTATTTCCTGTTTGCATTCTGATAATGTGATTCTTTCATTCAGGATTTCATATGATGAGGCTTTTATTATGGCCAGTGATCCCTTGGAAGGCTTTCATGAAGTGAACCTTGCTTCGCCTACTACACCAGATCTTCTCGGAGTAAATGAGCCAGGGACTCAGGAACAAACTACCTCACCCAGTGTCATCTACCGACCACATCCTTCTGTTGTGTCCTCCACGCCAATCCAACCCAATGCATTAAGTGTTTCTGACCTCCCCACACAACCTGTTTATTCATCTCCCAGACAACTGAATTGTGGAGAATTATCAGGTGTCAGGTAAATTCTGTGTGTCTTTTTATTTAAATTGCTAATGTTTGTTGCATATAAGGTGTTTGCTTTATTAAAGATAAAATTTTAAGATTACTTACAATTATGTAATATTAAATTGTGCCCATAATTATACATTCGCACCACTACTGCCATTTCTAAAATATTTATTCTTAATGTATTAAATAAATAAAAAAATATATTGCTCTCTTTACAGCATCAATGTTACCGACGCAGTACTTTGTTCTACCTCTGGACCCCAGAGTGGGTCATTCAATCACAATAATGCCAGGAAGGAGAGCAATAACGTAGAGAGAGAGTTTTTGCAGGGTGCTACAGTAGCAGATGTTGCTGAAGGAAACGAAGATATTTTTGGGTTGAGTACAGACAGTTTATCTCACTTACGGAGCCCATCTGTACTGGAAGTAAGAGAAAAGGGCTATGAGCGATTGAAAGAAGAACTTGCGAAAGCTCAGAGGGTAAGGTTTGTTGTCTTTTCCTCCTGCTTTTTCTCTCTTCAAAGTGTTTCTAATATTGCAGAATGATAGGTGGACCAGAAGGTACACTTGAAGTCTACTCTTTCTTATAGATTTATTATGATGTAATTATTTTACATAAAGTTTTCTTAATGTGTGCAGTGCTGATGACTTAGAATTATTCCTTGATAATGTTGTTTTTCTAGTGCTGCTGCTGCTACTTAACCATGGAGGATTTTCCTGCAATATCATATTAAACACACTTTCTCTTTGGAATGTAGGCCATTCCTTCATTCTGACATTTGAGAAAAGGAGTAATTTTCTGTCATTCTGCTGTTAGTGAATAAGTATTCACTGGCTGATTATATACCTTTTGAGTCTTCTTTCTCCTAAAGTATAAAAGTTAGCATGTTTAATGGAATTTATAAATGCTTCAGAAACAGGGATGTTTCAGAGGGGAATGCCTGCATAGGAAAGAAGCAATAAAGATAGCACTGGTGTTCTTTAGAGTACTGTTACACCACACCTGAAATTGAATATGGATACCTTTGAAGACACTGTGGCTCAATTCATTAATATTTGTAAAGCGCTTTGTCTTGTTTGGTTGGATGGTGCTATATAAATGCAAAGCCATTATTTATCACTTTAACATTCCTCCATTCTTAAACTTTTAAGTAGATTTAGTGCTGTTTGTATGTGTGCTATTTGTATCTGTGCCCCTTCGTCTCCTCTAAGGGATTCCATCCTTGCTTAGATTTAAGCTTGTCTTATCTTGTGTTTGACCCTGTTTTCCTCTGTTACCTCATCTCGTTGGATGCAGTCATCATTTCTGTCATAGTTGCATTTGCCCTTGTTAATGTGAATCTTAAATATGGGTTCTGACATCACTACTTCTGTTGATTGTTTTATTGCTGAATAGTGGCTTCCTTTGCTAATGTGTATGTTGGTTAGCTTTTGACCACTGAAAGAAAACATTAACATGAGCTAAGTTTGAGGACCTTGCATGTGAACATATAATCCTAGCAGTTAAACTTGGAACCTTAGAAAGTAAGAACAAATTAATGTTTAAACTTTAGAAAAGCTCTTCTAGCTCCTTGCAGTATACCAAATTACAGCTGGTGTACTTGAAAACCACAACTGGCTACAAACCTGCTACTACTACCTTGGAATTATCTGAAAATCCTATTACAGTGTATACCACATTGTCTCTTAGAGATTGAAATGTTGCCTATTTCACACTGAAATTTGCTGAGGCTGTTTTGAAGGAAATTGCTTGACGGCTGCTAGGACATACTAACTGCATGTTAGGTATTTTCAAACTTTGGGTGGTCTTAACAAAAGCAATTCAGCGCTAACTTGAGACTGTGGATGTCAAAGTTCTTGCTAATTCTCAGCTCCTCATGTGATTCTTAACATTGTTATGCTGGATGGTTAACTTACATTTTGTCTGCTTGTGTTTCTAAACTTGCACTGTTTCAGAACTGCACAATCACAGCAGGAGTCTGTACAGACTGTACAACAATAAACTCTATTCCTTCTGTTATATCTACTTTCTTCCCCTTCCTACGTGAGGACTAATTTTTTCTATCCCTAATTCATCTCTGGTTTCTTTCTTTCAAAAGTCGTGGCTGTTCACATAGTGCAGTACCCACCCTGTGATACTCAGTGTCGTGAAATCTTTAAAGTTTTATTTTGAAGTATATTCACTTTCATCGATGAGTACTCAGTTCAAAACCTGTAGGGATGGAATTAATAGGTAGTGTCTCTATGTAGCTGATTGTCTTTTGCTTAATGGCTTTAAATTCTCTGTAATTCTCCATGCTGTTTATTAGGAACAGTAAGAAAAATGAGATTTACAATTTGCACTTGAACTTTGTTGAGCTTATTGAGCCTGGAAACTTTGCAGGCTGCAGATTTCCCAGGAGTGAACAAAGTAAATGCAGATTTGCTGTTTTACAATTTTCATTTGTTCTGAATTTTCTACCCTAACTTTATATGATTGTAATATACACCAAAGATTGGTTTTAAATTGTTGCAGTTGTGATCAGAAAGGGAACTAGAAAGGAAACGGAAATTTTGAAGATTTTTTTTTTTCATGTCTCTTTTTGGAGTGCAACTTTTTTCTTAATGTGCTCTCTTTTTTTTATATTAGATAATGTATGTATGACATATAATTGTTAGGCATTTAAATACGGTTCTTGAATATATTATTCAGGCATAGAATAAATATTGTTTTTCTTCTCCTTTGTGTATACCTTGTATTTCTTAAGACTACAGACTTTTCAAAATAAACAGCATTGCTAGCAAAATTGTTAATTAAAAAGTCTTTCAAAAATTTGTTTCTTGATTAGAGAAAACTATGCTTTCTGCTTCAATCTAGATCAGTTGCAACATCAAATCATGTAATAAGATTGGGAGAAGGGTTGTGTCAGAGGTAAGAGCAGGGCAGTATCCTGTACTAGTGGAACATATAACAGTTTACATAATTTTGCCTTTAAAATTTTCCCTTAATTAAAACGATGTAGCTATTTTCAATCTTTGAGACAATTCAGATAACTTTTTGCTTATTTTCTCGCTGAAGTCTTAATTTCTGGCCATGTTCTGAAAGCGGAACTGAGTAGTCTTTACTGTAGATGATCTGGACTTTTCTCCTTGTTTCACTGCCTTTTTAAAGAGCATCAGGGAAATTGAGAAGCTGTCAAAAGGCTTAGTGATTCAATGCCTGGAACTTTATCTCCTCATGTCTCTGTGCATTTGCATTTTTTCTGCCATGTTTGGATTGAGCTATGTCACTGTGGTTACTGAAGATAGGTCAACCACATGTAAATAGCCTCAGAGAGAATAGGGATGGTATTTTGGTATATGGTATTTCTTTATGTACAGACTCTCTTGAGTCCCAGCAAAGGGATACCTTTTGCTTTTCGTTTGATTTAACCAACTCGTTGCATGCATTTTGGACAGCTTGCTTGCAGTTTTTGTAGCAGTTTGTAGTCATGTTTTCTGTGAATTTTTGTGTGATTAGTCCCAAAGTTATTACTGTTAATACATTGATGTCATCCATGACTACAGAAAGAAACTTGGCTTTCTGTGTTGATATGTTTTCTCTTGGAGAGTTGAGATTTGGGTGTCACTGGTGGTTAGCGCTCTTTGATGGGGAAAGAGCCCTCTACTGGAGATGCTGGTTGCAAACAGTGTATTTGGTTTTCATGCTTCCCATGGTCTTTAGAGTAAGATCTGTACACTTGTTGGTAACAAGTAAAACAAGTTTGACTTTTTGTAATGGAAACGTGAATTACTGGTATTTTCCTAATTGAGTTAAATTGAGGTTTTTTTCCCCACTGATCCAGTGGTTCTTGTTGAAGAGGTGACAGTACAGAATGTGGTGGTGTCAATTTCAGTCAATAGTTTGAGAACTTGATTTTGAGATCAAGATTTTTCCTTCAAAGGCTTCGATTTCTGTATGCATTCTTCATCTCAGAAACAGGGTGTTACAGTTTGATCTTATGTCTTCAGATCTGCAGACATTTTTAAAACTTTGCATGGATTAATCAATAAACAGGTTCACGATAACTACCTAGGAATTCCATGTACTATACAGTACATTCAGCATTTTAATTTTTTTCCTTGTTGCTTATAAATTAACAAACAATAAAAATGAGAATGCTCTAGAACTCCACTTAAGAGTATGCTTTCAGACTTTTCTAAAAATCCAATTGTAGTTGAATTGTAAGGCTACAGGCTTGTGATTGTTAAAGATGTCTTGGTTCTCTGAAGGTGTTTGAGCAGTTCTTGTCTGTCTTTGAGTGATGAAAGTTTTCGGTTTCCACACCTCTGATGCTGTTGAAGTGTATTGTAGGCATAGAAATTTTCTCAGCCGAGTAGAAGGCTACATGCAAGCAATTTTACCCGTACCATAAAATGATAATTCCATTGTTTGTGAAATTCTGCTAACTCTGGAAAGATATGCTGGACTTTCTGTCCCATTTAATACCCTTGTGAATGTGGTTGCAATGGACTGGTTTTTATGTAGCTCGTTTAACTTGTGTGCTGAGTGAAGACGAGTCAGATAGGAATGCATTCTACTTTTTTGACAATTTCAGAATTCAGCAGTACCCCACAGTTCAGAATTTAGGTGATATCTGTAGAAAATGCTCTTTCCTTGATATTATGCATCTGGTTCTGACTTGGTTAAATTGCTGAATTAGATGTAGGATGATCATCTTTCTAGAATTTAAAGTGTGAATGGTTTTGAAGCAGTAATTTGCATTTTTTATCTCACTGCTTCTTTTTAAAGACCTATCCTGTAGTCTGTTTGAGAAGAAAGGGATAGGTCACTGCACAGAATTGTAGCAAGTGAGTAAGAGTTGAGTACTATTTGAGAAATATCTTGTTTGGAAAAAAACCCATCAATTAAGTGATGCCTTTCAAAATAGTTAAAAGGTTGCATAATGGAAAGCAAAAAATCCAAATGACAAACAAACTAGACTAAAAATCAATCAAAATGTCTGAAGTTAAAACCAAATAAAAGAAGGGTGAAATAATACAGTTGGTACTAAATGAGCCTAGCAGAGTCCTTAAGCACTTGTCTAATCTAGGAGCTGAAGTCAAAAAGGACCCTTCACATTACAGAAAGATCAATTGCCCATTTCACTGCAGAAATGGAGAGCAAGAGCTAGTATTGGCATGCTCCAAGGCAAGATGCAGTTTCCCACAGTGTTGTGTGCAACATTACTTCAGTCACAAAGACTTTAGGAGGAATACTAACCACCTCCCTAAAACACATGGGAAGCTGCCATTTCAGCCTTTTTTTGTGACTCTCTAGTGACTGACCTTTCAGAGTTTTCTGAAGGCAGATGTTTTCTTGGCTGTCTTGTGGAGGTTTTCAGAGCAAATCATTGCTAGATTGTATTTGAAGTCTTTAACCTGTCAGTGACAGGGTCTTGCATTTCAAGAGTCACAGCAGTGTAATAGCTATCTTGGCAGGGGGAAGAGGAGGAAGAACTGAATGAGAGTGGGAAGGGAGTTAAGGCAAAAAAAAAGTTTGAAAGGTCAGAATTGGCTGTCTGCTGCTTTTCTTTCTTTTACTTTTTCTCTACATCCTTTCTTTCTGCAAGAGTTTCCAGGGTTTAATGGTTGGGGAAGGGGAGAAGAGCTTTTCTTTCAAATTTCTTGTCAACCTTTTTGTACTTCTCTGTAAATTACCCCATTTTCTCCTCAATACAGATAAGATTGGGCATGTGTAACCCTTATATTGCCAAATCTGCGTTAAAATCTTACTGTAAAAGTGGTAATGGTGAGACCTTTGCTCAAATTTTAGTGGTGTAGACAGCATTTTGAATTTCATTATGTTGCTTTAGTTTTATTTATATATCTGCATAAACAAGAGCAAGGATATAATTACAGTATGATTTTGGAATTGTATTCATTGTAAGGAGATATTCAGGATAGACTATTTATAGTAAAATATATTTTAAAATTTATTTAGAATTGGGGATTGTCTTGAGACAGTGCTTTTTGATTTTTTTTTAAATTTTGTTTTTTTTTTATTTTTTAAAAAGGATTACTTTATCTTTAAGGCATGACTAGACAGAACTGATGTTCTGTCTGTCTCAATAATGATTTTGATCTATATTTTAAGTGAATTTAGTCTTTCATACTTTCAGGAAAAAATGCTTTTTTTACTTTGGAGAATTTTGGAAATGTTGATGTTTAGCTAAGGGATACTTTAGATTGGCCTGGTATATTTCTGTACAGCAGGAAGAAATAGCTGTATATGCAACAACTTAATTGTTTTTAGTGTTAAGATGAATATTTTGAAAGGCTTTGTTTAGCAAAGGTTTTATGCTCCTCTGATTATTTGTTTTTTTTTCTTTTTGTCCCCCCTCTCTTTTGGTATTAGCTTTAAAAGGCCAAATTACTACTCTTAAGTCAGAATAAATAACTTTCAATTTTCCATAGGAGCTGAAGTTAAAAGATGAAGAATGTGAAAGGCTTTCTAAAGTACGAGATCAACTTGGACAGGAATTGGAAGAACTTACAGCTAGTCTGTTTGAGGTTTGTCTTCAATGTGATATACTTAAAGGAAGCTGAGCCAGATGTTTTATGTAGAACCAGTGTATTGTATGCTGAATTTTTCTGCAATAAACTTTTAAAGGGATTTGTGTCCTGAAGACCTGGGTGTTGAAATAGAGGCTTAAGAGCAAGCAGCAGACTTTTCACTTAGATGAGAGATATCTTATTGAGCTTGTCAATCCGCCTAGACACAAAATGAAGAAAATAAGGAAAATATATCAGCTTATTTTTTGGCATAACTATTTTGAGACAGCTTCTCTGTCTGACAACAAGGCTATCTAGATAAGAGCTAAATTTGGGGTTGCTATGGTGACTAAATAAAAAAATAACGTAGTTCCAGATCAATGGAGGTTGCAAGTACATAACTTAACCATGTTTTCAGCTTCTGAATTTTGGGTCTGGCAGCATGCTACACCCACAGACTTGAAAGGAAACATAAGTACTGAGTGATGAACCAGGGTGAAACCTGGTTACCAAGTGAGAAGCCTGAACTTTAAGTAGGACCAGCAGTAGTACTAGCAAAGATTGTGAGATTGCGTTATACAGAAAAAAATCCTAAATCCATACTTGAAGAACAATCAGTTCTCATTTTATCTTAGGAATATATATAGGAATGCTTCAGGCCTAAATTGTGGTATCTTTTATTGTCAGAATAAATTTCATAATCTGTGGATGATTTATATGTTTACTAAATCCTAAGTATTGGCTTTCAGCATATGCATAAAGATACCACATTAGATATGTTTTAGAAGCAGTGTTTAAATCTATGATGTTGTATTGGTATAAGAGTGCTATTAAGAAGCTTGAAAATACTGACATGCAAAAGTCAAATTAAAAACTGCTCTATGGGTTTTGGTTCATCATCCCGGCAGGACAAGTTTACTTAAAATATTAAGCAGTTCCTATGTGTAAAAAACAAATGGTAGACTGGAAGAGTACTTTTTAGCATAAATACCTGTGCATTTTGGGAAAGAGAAAAATATTGGGCAGATATTTTAATTGTAGAGGAATAAAAATAAAATTATCAGTGAAATTTTATTTTTATGACATTTCATAACTTAGAACAATGTGTCAGTTTGTTAAATCTATGTTAATTGAGTTTTATTTTGTGATTTGATTTCACTAAGAGGCCCTAACAAGACACAGCGGTGAGGTTTATTGATTTTTTTTTTTTTTTTTGCTCTGGGATCTACAGCCCTTGAAATCATGTTTTATTCTGAATCCCACTAATTTCAGCAACCATGTAAGTGGTTATGCTAGAGCTTATATTAATGCATCCCAGTGGAGGATCAAGACTTGTTTTGCACAGCTGGGTTCATATAATAGCTTATTACACTGTAATAGCACAGTAACATGCTTTGCTTTCAAAGGTGCATCACTAAGCAGAAACTGCATGATCAATGTTAAATGTATTTGTACACATTGTATAAATGTGTATGTTCCCATTCCTGCATGTGTCTTGTTACTTAAGAAGATTTTACAAACCCATATTACACAGCTGTGTTGTATGCCAGTGGGAGCCAGATCTCTTGGTATGATGATGTACAAACTTTTTTGTTTTATTTATATAGCGTCCAGATGTGCTAGGCGCTTTACAGATATGAAAAGCATCCTATCCCAAGTAATTTAGTTGGTGGCTCTGATATTTCAATTTTTGTTGCCTTCAGTAAGTATCGCATGAGAACAGTAATCTGATCATAGGTGCAAATTGCTGGATCAGAGCCTAAGCAAATACATTATACAGACAAAAGGCTTAAAGGTATGAGGTAAAAGGATGTTTAAAGAACTCTGTCCTTTTATGCTTTTTTCTTTATTGGCTTAGCCTTGTTTCTTTACTTGGATTGTTTTTTTAGTGCTTTTTCTGTTCTACTTAAGAAATGTTTATTAAATGACAAACTGTTTTTATGCTGTTGCTTTGTCTGTTTTGCTAATGGCAAGAATTTAGACTTCATAGTTGTTTGACTGGTTCCTTCATGCAGAAGTTTACAGTTGTCTAAAACTGGTTATTCTGGTTAGAAGAAGGTAGAAGTTCTTTTGAATGTTCTACTGTGCCCATGTTGCTTTTGTTGCTACTGGTTCAGTCTTTCCCTGGCGGTCAAGGAACTTGACTTGTCAGCCACTGAAGCGTGACTGGAGCCTGGTGTTCATGACAGGTATTGTTCCTGCTGGAGGGGGGTGGGTGGAGTTGCTGAATTTCTGAATCTGGACTCAGGACCAAGGGGAAGAAACTTGGTGGGCCAGTGATGAATCCAAATGATAGATTTGTAGTTTGTTTTTTTTTTTTAATGTAACTATTTCATTTCAGACTATTGCACAACTTAATATTCACAAGTAGTCTCCATGAAGCAAAAGTATGTCCTTAGTTGTTGGATTTTTCATAGATTTGTTTGAGGCATTTACACTAGATAAACTTTTTTATAGGAAGCACACAAAATGGTTAAAGAAGCAAATGTCAAACAAGCTGCAGCAGAAAAACAGTTAAAAGAAGCACAAGGAAAGGTGAGCTTTTTTTCTAGCTTGCTTGCTTTGTCTTTTCACATGGTTTTAAAGTATGAATCGTAAAGATATAGATAAAACATTACCCATATACGTTATATTAGAATATATACAAAGTTGTTTGGTGTTGCTTGACATATTCTTGGCTAACACACATGGAGAGGGTGTTTTAGCATCATGTCAGATAGCCAGCATGGTGCATAGGAAGTGAGTGTTACTACGGTATGCAATGGCATAGACATCTGTGTGCTAGTATTGTTGGAAGATGGCATCTTGTTTTGAACCAAGATAGCTGAAGATTTTGTTAATTGATTCAACATGTTCTTAGCCTAATATATTTTTTTTGTTTGTTAATGACTTTATCCCCTTCCCTCCCCCCCCCCGAAGATTGATGTCCTCCAGGCTGAAGTAGCAGCATTGAAAACACTAGTACTGTCTACTTCACCAACGTCTCCAACTAAGGAGTTTCAGTCTGGTGGAAAAACTCCTTTTAAGAAAGGCCATGCAAGAAACAAGAGTACAAGCAGTGCTATGGGTGGCAGTCATCAGGACCTTACCATGATGCAGCCAATTGTAAAAGACTGTAAAGAGGTAACAGTATAAGGATTGTTCTATATTTGCTGATAAGCTGGCTTTATTGTTTTCTTTTACTCACACTAAATTTAGTATATATTAACTCTTCATGTAATGCTGACTATTTTAGAGGTGTTTTTCGTTAGTGAAAGAACTTTACTTACATACCAATAGGTGGTGGTTCTTCCAAGTCTCGTTTACCTTTAAATCATTAAGGGAAAATGAAATAAGATTTCAGATATTGGAATTAGTAATTTAAATATGGTAATTAAAAAAAACAAACAATAAACCAAAGCAGTAAAACTGAATGATAAGTCCTGGTGACTTTTTACGAAGTCCTTTGCTGAAAATTTATAAACTTTCATAAATGTTGTATAAATTATCATAGAAAAGAAGAAGAGTAATTTTATAGATAAATAATGGGTGAAAGAGGCCGGGGAAAAGACATAATCAATGACTTATTAGAGAACAGGAGGAGAATTACCACTGGAATTGCAGGGGCCTGTGTGATTTTTTAAAAATTTTATTTTTTTTTTAAAGAATGTACTCATGTATCTGAAAATAGGGAAATAATGAGGGGAGAGGTTGGTACTTGAGTCCTTGGAATGGTAGTAACAAAAATTAACCGAAGAGTTGAGAAGGAGATTATTTTACAGCAGATGAAATTCTAAATAAGTTTGAGAAATGAGGCATCTAGGGAAAAAATGCAACTAGCAAGCTTGCAGTTGTGAACTTGGAAAGAGCTACTGAAAAAAAAAAAAGCTGCTGAAAAAACAAGGTAGCGTCCTTGTTGATCATTGTCTGCAGACACCATCTCAGTGCTCAGTGGTGGTCGGAGACGAGCAGAGACTTAGGAATTCTTAGGAAAGGAATAAATAGCCAAAGAAAAAGCATTATACTGCTGTATAAACATATAGTAAATGTGTGTTTCTATGCATGCAGCTATATCATCTTCATCACAGGACATAATGAAAATGTGAGGAAGTGTGACATAAATGGTCAAACCTATGGAAGGATTTCTGTGTAGAGAGAGATACTTGAGGTAGAAGAAAAATCTCTGCAATCTCAGGTGACATGTGGAAGATGAATGATGAACAATTATTAATGAATTCTTGTAATAAGAAAACTCTGGAAGCTAAAAGGAAAATAATTTTTAGTCACATAATGAAACTTTACTCATTGTCACGAGGTAGCAAGATTAAAAATATAAATGTGTTCAAAATATAGTCATGCAAAGTGACAAAAGCCTCTCAAGGTATATAGAAGACAGATATGACATTTGGCTTAGGAAGCTTCTTTAACTACAGATTGCTAGGAGTTTTGAGACTGTAAAATGAATCCATATCACTTCCTCTCATATGTCTCTTCATCCAGCTCTGTGGCTGCTGGCCGTTGTCAGAGGGGAAAGAGGCCAACTGGATATCTAATGTGGTTCAAAGTAGTTCATTTGTACTGGACACGTTTTTACAATAAACCTAGAAAATAAAGGCATCTTTCAGTTTAGTTTTCATACTCAAACTTTAAAAAAAAAATAAATCAGAAGATTTACAACCTACCTGCCCACTTTCAGTGGTATCCGGTATATTTTCCTTACTAAAACTGAATCCTTGTTGCCCTTGAGAAAAGGGGAGAGCTGGGATGGAATCCCATTACTTTGTAAGCATCACACTGAGGTCGTGACTCAATGAATTTTTTAAGTGTTGGGCAAGAGCGAGAGAGGGGAGAAATCTGTTTTGCCTCAATTTCTTGTGGAGAGAAGGTGGGGAATGTGAGGGATATGCTGCAGAAGAACCAGTCTGCCTGACATTTTTCTGTAGTTCAGTCTCCTTTTTGTTGACTGCATAAGGAGACGCTTTGAGGCTGCTCAAGGCTGCTCAAACCGGTGACTGTTCTTCCAGTGACAGCACAGGGGATCACTAAGAAACACATGGATTTTCCACCCACTGGGACTTGAGTCTTTCTATTTCTCATCTGAGCAGGAGTATTTAATGGAATGTAGTGTGGGGTGAAGAAAGCAAGACTGCCTTTGACATGGTGGCTAGATCATGGTTTTAAGCAGGAGAGACATGCCTTCCCAGCTGCTTTTGTTATCCAGTGCTTTGTGGTTTTGTTTCCTGCTTTTGATTATAGTTGGTCTAAGGTAAATGTTTTTGCATTTCTTGGAGCTGTCCCCAGTTCTGTCCCCTTCTTGCTAAATGTTCTTGCCACTGAGTTAAATTACCCTTTGCATGTCATTCTTCTAACGTTGAGTGACTCAACTTCAAAAGGGAGCCTGAGAGTTCCCTTGCTTGGGGCTATGCAGTGACCTTTTGGTGTGGGGAATATAGCTTTAGACTCTTATGGAGACTCTACCACCTAGAGATATTGGATGGAGCTGGGTGTAAATACATCAACTCTCAGGTTTCTGTGTAGAATGTAGACAGAGTCAGGAGTGGCTGGCTGTCCACCCTAAGTTGCAGTGGAACTAGAAAGGTGCCAGCATCCCAGAGAAATACATCCTAGCATGTGGTAGTAACCTCCTAGGATAAATTGACATGTCTAAGGATTTTACATATTAAAAAGATTGAGATAAGCTGAATAGCTACCTGGATCTTAAGCAAACAGGTAGCATCCACTCACTGTAAATGCTGATAAATACTTCGGTGTCGTTCAGAGAGCTGAAGTGTTTCACCGATGTTGTATTTTACTGTAAACAAAACCATAAAAAATTTAACTAGAATTATTATTGCATTTGGCTGTATATTTAATTTGTAGTAATCAAAACTGACCTAATGAAAATATAAGTAAAGACAGGGAGGAGATACAAATGTATCACATTGTTCACCAAACAGTTTTTTCAAGGCAGCTTCTTTATAAACTGCAGGTTTGGGTAAAATTGAGTTAAATCTAGAAAATAACAAAGTTAATAAGAAATGCGTCTCAATTTTTAGAATCCTATAGTACAAATCAAAAAGAAATGTTTTTCTGCTGGTATCTCTTGATTATATTAATTTTAAAGCCAGACCTGAGATGGATTTTAAGGTATGGGAAATGTTCCTTGAAGGGAGCAAGTTACACCTATTGAATTTCACTTGTACAATGAAGTTGGTGGCTTACCAACCAGAACATTTATGGACTAGCTTAATTAAGATGGCTGTTCCTGATTGTACATGAGTATAAAAGCAAGTAGCTCTAATGGAAAACAGATTTTACAGCCTAATTTTTCAAGGAAAAAAAAAAAGAAAAGAAAAAAAATAAAGTTAAACCAAAAAACTCTGAAAGTGACAAAAGAAATCCCCCAAGCATATATGTAAAAGAATGGCAAAGTGTTGGGGACTCAGAGGAGAGGTAGTGCATGGGAAAAATAAAAAAGGCTGAATGAGGTTGGTTCAAAGCAGCACACTGATCTTTTTAATAGGATTAAAAATCAATTTTTAGCATACATTATATATTTTTCATTATTTTACCTATATTATTTGTTTTTAATAATACAAAACTTTAAATTCACATCCTGGCTTGCCTTTTGCCTGCAGTGTGCATCATTCTCATAGTTTTAGGAGTATAGGTCTGTTCTGGTACAAGAAAGGGATTTAACCAGTTGGAGGGGAAAAGATGCTGAAGCAGAATGTCAGAACCAATCCGAGGATGGTGTTGCATCTGGGGAGCAGGATGGTGTTTCATATCCCGGTGGGGACTGGCAGTAGTCTTTTATGTTGGATTAGGAGCATGTGTCACAAACACTCATCCCCATTCTGCTTGGTTTGTGTCCTGGAGCCCATGAACAAGATTCTTCTCAAGTAACCCTAAACCAGATGATGTGTTTTGGGAGCACCTCAGTGTACTCCAGCTGTTAGTGGGTAGCCAGCCCATCGGACAGGCTGTCTCATAATGGGAATGTAGATTTTTAATAGCAGTCTAGTACCAATCTCCAGAACACCAGACTGGATAGCTGCCGTCCTACTGCTAAGTGATCTCGGTGTGGAGATGACAAAACAAAGTGATTTCAAAGCAGGTAAAATTATCTTTTCCTAATGCAGAGCATGGTTACTCCCAGTATGATTTAATGGGTTGTTTTAGCATTTCCTCTTGCACTAGAGGAGCTGTGGGGGAGCAGGCTCATAAATCATTCCCAGTGAATATCCTTGCCTTTCTGTTGGGTGGTAAAGGAGAGAGTTTGGGCATAAAGATGAAAAATGAAGTATACTTTTAATTGATTTGTACATTGACTTCCCATTTACTTCTTTTGGTATATTTAGTGTGTTTAGTCTATTTTCTTTAAGTATTTGGACAGCAGCATGTTACAGTCAGTTGAAGTTGTTTTCTTTGAATTTCTTCGCTTTTCTGTAACTCACAGAAGTAGAGGTGGACTAAAATACTGTAATGAAGATGCATCAAGAAGGAAACTATTTTTTGGCTTTTTTTTTAAACATTCAGTTAAGTTTTTCAAAGCTATCCTGAAAGCTTAGTAAATGAGGGAGAAGTAATTAGCTTGTCCCTGGTGTAGTGGTGACCAGTAAATGAATTATCTCTGTGTCTTGAAAATTATATATTTTAATTTGCTTATATTTACAGTCTCAAGAGAGTGGATTTAAGAAGGTGTTTGTAGCTGGACCATGATAACATTCTTTCACAGGGCAATGGAAAGCATTTTAATACTCGTTATTTACCTGTGGATATTTGCAAATGATAGACAATGGTGTGATAATTGCAGTACTAAAATATGTGAATCTTTGTGTGTTCTAGGCTGACCTGTCTTTGTACAATGAATTTAGATCTTGGAAGGATGAACCTACTATGGACAGAACATGTCCTTTCTTGGACAAAATTTATCGGGAAGATATTTTTCCATGTTTAACCTTCTCAAAAAGTGAGGTAATGGAAATGTTCTAAATGTGGTAACTGCCACTTCCCTTTAAATGTATTACAAGAACCCAGTAGACTATTGAATTGTTTTTAATACAAAGTTTAACCATTTTTATTTCATTAGTGTATGACAGTTTCCAGTGAAGTGCTGAAGTTTAGTCTGGAGTATTAACCATTTTTTTCTTTTGTTTACACTGTTCCAGATATGGCCGTTTTAGGGCTACTTCTTGTAGATGTTACTCCTCTTTGTCAGAATCTGATGTTTGTAAGAATGGGTGGAGGTTTTATTCCTACTACTTCAAAGACTGTAAAAACAGTGTCCTGTCCCAGTCTCTTGTTAATACAGGGGACAGTAGAGACTAATATATTTAATTTTGTAGGCCAGTTTTCTCTCGCATCGGTCGAAGGAGACTGCAAGCAAGTCTGTGAGTTTTCTTGAAGAGAGCTTTGAGTTACAAGAATTGGACTTTGGGATTTTCAATTCAACAGGGGCAATTTGGAAATAGGATTTTAGACTTTTTTTCCTTGTGCTATTCCCACACGTTCTCCCATACAGAGGAAAGACTGGAGTTTTACCTATCTTGGGATTGCAGTTCCAACTGCTTTACTTTGGTTTTGTTCTTAAGCAACATTTACAGGCTGTAGTTGGGGTATCAGTAAGGAAAGGAAGCATATTCTTAGATCTTTATTAAAATAAGAAATTTTAAAGCCATAAGTATTGATATTTTTTTCTCAGTAAAATTAAACCCTTTGCATAGAAAATCCTGCATTTTCTTCATAATTTTTATCTGTTATTTTCAGGAGGTATTATGTTCTTGTCCCATGCTTTTCATCTGTGATTACTTTCTGGCCATAAGCATGCACAATCTTTTAGTTAATTGTATAACGGTTTGTTATTGTTGGTGTACACCATCATATGAACCTCTCCCCCGAAAAAGTTTACTTGGTTACTATAGGAATTAAAGTACTTCTTCAGTATATGTAAGTAGGCCATTCCGTTGTCTTTCCCAGCAGCTTAATTTTGGTTTTGTGCTTCAGTGGTAATATAATTACTGTGGATGTATATTGCCTCTTAAGGGAAGCATGAGGCTTCTCGCACTTGTCAGGTACAGAATTTATTGTTTTCAGATGCTGTGTGTAGTGACCGACTTGTGTTTTCACTTGGCTATTGATAGGCTAATGTGCAGTTAACCAAACAATAAATTATACATGTATCGTGTTGCTGAATAATTGGAAATGCAGTTATCTGAATGGTTGAAGTATTACATCGACTGTTAGTAGCCTCCTGTGTATATGTATAGTGTTTTTCTTTGGGGAGATGACAGAGAAGGAGCATTTCATATGAACTACTTTAATACTAACATTCTGTTTTAAAAATATTTAAAGTACAATAGAAAAAACATCTTTATTATTGAGTAGGAAGGAGCCTTAGTACAAAATCATTTCATTAATAACATAAATTGCACCTTTTTTAAAATCAGGTAATGGCTATTACTTAAAACAATGGTCTTGGGCAAGTGTTTAGTCCAATCAAGCAAAATGATCACATTTCTAGTGTCTTGTGATTGTGTGTTTATAAAGAATTAACATAAAAAAACCTGAGCAAAGTTGCACTTTGTTTTAACTAGACTAGTGTTTGTAAGTTGCAACTGGCTTTTCTATATATTAGGTTGGCTTTTCTGTATATTTTTCAGTCTTACTTGTTTGTACACCTTTCTAAAAGCTGAAAAAGTTACATATTTACTTGTTTTATTCAAGCTAAAGAAGCATGCTGCATAATTTTGTATTTTTCATATAACACAATAAAATTAGACCAATTTTTAAAATAAAGTTTGTGCCATATTAAGTCTCTGACAAGAACCCAGCATGTACAAACATATGTGCGATTTGGGCATATGAAGAATGGCTGAAGATACTGTTAGCTTTTTAATCATGCTTGACTGCATTCCTGGCTGTAAAGAAGTTACCTTGCCTCAGGGAAGGCAGGGTTATTTGGAGGGCAGAATTTAAGCAGGAGCTTGGAAATGGGACCTCCTGTTCAGTGATGAAAGCGAAATCTCATTTGTAATAGAATTTCTGTTTGGTGAGTTGATTTTTTTTTTTTTCTATGTTGACTTTCCAGAAGAAGAACTATGTCACTGCTTTTAGGCAATGGATAAAGAAGAGCTGTTTTTAACCGTTTTCTCAATTTCTCTTGCAGTTGGCTTCAGCTGTCCTGGAAGCTGTTGAAAACAACACTCTGAGCATTGAACCTGTTGGCTTGCAACCTGTTCGATTTGTGAAAGCTTCTGCAGTTGAATGTGGGGGACCAAAGTATGTAAACTAACGAGAGGGGTAATCTTGACTCATTTGAGATATCTCTTGCCTTGAGAAAACTGCTATCAACTGATGACCTCAGTCAAATTTGTGTATCTTAAATTTAATTTCCTAAAATCTAAGACTTCGAGATGGTTGTTACAAAATTTTATGGGAAAGTAAGCAACTAAGAAATGGAACTTTAAAAGAGACTAACATAAAACAAACCTTGCCTTTTGGGGAGAGCTGTGTGCTTCACTTACAATACATTGACCCCAAAAGTAACATTCACCTCTTTGGAGAAGACCATCCTGATACTTAAAACAGATGCTTTTGACATAGGGGCTCTCAGCTGGTAAGCATTGTGAAAGAAATAGGTGTTGGAGTAGTACAGGCTGAATATCTGACATCTGGAGGATTTGTGGCATAAGAAATTTAGGATATATGTAAGACACTGACAAAGGTAGCTGAAGGATTTTAAGACAGATATACAGAGTAAATCCTCTGAGTTTGAGCAGGAGGAATGTAATGAAGTAGGAATGAAGGTGAGTGGGAGTTCGAACCTAAATTAGGAAGTATGCTTGAATGACAGGAAGGTTGTTTTAGAAATTCTGGAGTGGTCCTAGAGGAATTTGAAGCAAGACTTGTTGTCAGGTACTGATACAGCTGTTGAAGTTAGGTGGGAGGGACTTGCCCTGAGACACTGAGACTTTGATGGATGTGAAGGAAGGGATTGTAGTGTGCTTCAGCATATGTCAGAGTAAGCAAACAAGGTCAGTGTTAATTCGGAGCCTTCCAGATCTTGAGAAAGACATGACTTTTCTCTAATATTTGATTTGAGAGAGCTCAATTTTATGATGGAAGTCTTGCATGAAAATGTTTCATCTGACTCTTTAAGATTTTTTTCTTTGTCATTGCTATTGCTTTTTAGTCCTTGTTTTTCCTCTGTTTTTGAGTGGAAGAGAAACTACAATTAACGTATCTCAAAATTCTTTACTTTCTCTTTAAAGAAGCTGTATAAAATGAAAATTGTTTTTTGTGACAGTCTTTGATCCTTTCTAGCCTACAAAATTCAAGCATTCATATATATTCCTCAACTTATTCCTGTCACTAGAAAACACACTTTTTGAGCTGTAACAGCTCTTCGTTAGAAGGGCCCGCACCAATAATGGAGCTACTCAAGGGGTAGTGAACTCATGTCCAAGAGCTGCCACGGCGAGCTGTGTTCCATGAGTGCAGTAGAGAATCTGGACAGCCAGAAACTACTGAAACAAGTCATGTGTCACAAACCGATTGGCAAATTGATTTAAAGTCACTGTGGTTCAAGCAACTTCCCTGTGTCCTGACATGATGAAATATTTACTCAGGAGACTCAATTGCATCATTCAGAAATTTCTCCATATTTTTAATCTGTTTTCTCCAGTGTAATATAGTACTTAGTAATATAGAACTTATGAAATCCTTAAATAGTTGGCTAGATATATAGATTAACATTTTGATATGACAGTGCACAAATTGTAATGTAGTTATTTTAGCTATATCAAAAGGTTGGACATATTCCTTTCTCAGTTTTCCAGCTGCTGTGTATCGACAAAAACTTTTGTGGTGTTGCCTGTAAATAAGTAATAGGTGAGGAATGTGCAGTATTTAAGTGTAGTTTGACAGCAAGTGGGCTTTGCCTTGTATATGATCACTGGCACTGTATGGGAAACAGGTGTTCCAATTTTCATTGAATCAGAGTAGCAGTTTCAGGTTTTTATTATTATACAGTGCATAGCGCTGTTTTTATTGAAACATCTTAAATACATAATATAGACAAATAATAACAAAAACTAGAGTAATGTTTTTAAAGGTTATTTTGTTGTACAGTTGCATGGGGAAACAGATGCATAAAATAGTGGGCAATAGCCCAATAGCAAAGTAAGGAGTAGAGGGTGAAGAGCCATGATAGTAGTAAAGAAAGGTTCTTGCTATACAGAAGGTACTGAGTGGTGCCTGTGATGGTGTGCAGTAAGTGCTGCCTTAACAAAAGACAGCTGGGTTTCCCCACAAGACTCAAATAATTGTCCCCATGGGTAAAAAAAGCACTAAGCTGCATGTGGGCCATACAGCACAGAACTGAGTCATCAGTAGTAACCATTGTGCCAGCATTTAACCCTGTGTGATGGAAGACAACATATAGAAGGTAATTATGTAGCCAGAAGGAAAAAAAGGTTTTATTTTCCTAGCACTGAAAGTTAGTCTGTCTTCTGACAACAGCCAGACTGAAATTGTGATCAGCTTGCTTCAGCTGCTCTAGGATTTCTTATATCAGTGCACTGCTGTCAGTCCTCATAAACTGTTATGGAAAGTCATATACACACTTCAGTTTTCTCCTGTCTTACATGGTTCTGTGGACCTGCTGCAGGCTGTTTAAAAGGCTTGTGAGCCACTGTTTAGAACCACAAAAGCTTAGTAATTTTTGTTTCACTTTTGAAAGGCTGTTTGTTCTTAGACTCCCTAATTTCATGAGGTAGAAATGGGAGGGAGAAGAGTCAGCGGCTTTTAAAATTAATGAAACAGTGGTTGCCATGACAAGCTAGTTAATCTGAGATGCTGTAATACAGACATTCCGAATAAATCACATTCTCCTAATTTTTAAAAATTCATTGTCTTTTTCTTAATTTTTTTTTTGGGGGGGAAGAATTTGTGGTGAACTACTGACCTTTCCAGAATACTGCATATTTGCAGTATACCAGAAGTAAATTTAAATTATTTTACCATTGCTTTTTGTAGCGATAACATAAAGAATTATTGCCAGACAGCTTATTTTCCTTTGTTCCAAATTATTTTACACTCTGAATATAAAATATGATTTCAGTTTGGCCATAAATGCAAAGCTGGCCTTAGAATGCATTTAAGAGAGCCTTCAGAGAATTGAATGCTCTTCTGTAGGGCTGATATTTTTTCTGATGAAATACAATATTGAGTGGAATTTTTAAAATATCTGTTTAAATGTTGACATCAACTGATAATTTAAATAATGCTTATTTCACATATCAAGAGTTAATTAAAGAAAGCCAATGCTCCAGAATTGTCAAGCCAAACTTGAATTAGTGAATATGAAGTACATGCCCAGAGCTGAAGAAAGTTTTAAAATTCAAAAAAGCATCAAAATGCACCAGTATTGGAATGAAATTAGTCCTTGTGGAATTAAAATAATTGCCAGTGTAATGTAAAATGAAGACAGAGACTCGTGTATCTGCACCAGTGTGAAGCAGTTACATTAATACTGTAAACACATGCAGGTGTTTGACATTAATGTCAGATTTGTTTATTAAATCACGTGACCTTTATATTTGTAGGAAATGTGCTCTCAGTGGACAAAGTAAGTCATGCAAGCATAGAATCAAATTAGGAGATTCAAGCAGTTATTACTACATTTCTCCTTTCTGTCGTTACAGGGTAAGTAGATTTACTGTGATTTCATTTTGCATAGTTATTTACTTATTTTTTTTCCATACCATTATGCAAAATTATATTAACCACCATTATTTTTTTATGAGTTCAGATCACTTCTGTGTGTAACTTCTTTACATATATTCGATACATCCAGCAAGGACTGTTGAAGCAGCAAGATGGTGAGTAGGAAATTGTGTTTGGTGTATATGAACAGAAATTTAAATAGTGCCTGTGCCTAAAAGTTGCTTATCTATGCACAGTAGCTGTGACCTGACAGTACTGGAAAGCTATCAGTTTGTAGTCATTGTTGTAATTTTGAGAATGTGGTGATATTTCACTCTCCAATAAAGTTATTTTTTTCAACAACAACAAATTAAAACACATTGATTTTTAGTCCATCTAAAAAATCCTTATATATTATTCGGTAGGAAATGTTATGAAAAAGTCTGTAACAAGAGGAGTTAGTCACAGTTTTTCCACAAAGTAGTCAAAAATCAAGTCTTTCACAGAATATGGAGATATTTTAGACCAAAATACCTTCAGTTTGGTTTGATCTGAGCCATTTTTCCTTTTGCTTGGTGTTTTTATGTGTCTTTTTATTTTGTACATTGAGAATTGAGAGAGCAATTCTTGCCATACTATTTTTTCAGGGGGAGCTGGCAAGAGTGACAATATTTTGGGTTCAGTTGTAAAAAGTAAACAGGAAGCCTGTTATGTATATACAGAAAACCTGTATACTGTAATGATTCATCTGAGTGCAGCTGAAAGGTCATTGCAGTAGCATGACAAAATCTCTTGATTAGGGCTCTGGTTATAAATGTAAGGCTTGATTACTGTCCACCCCAAAAGAGAAATGTGGTTTTTACTGCTGTTGCTTCAGGCTGTGGGGTTGAGTTTTTTCTGCCATTGTTACCCAGCTTCTTTGTTCTTGTCAGAATAGCATACCCAACAACTCTATTTAAACCATGTCTGCAGAGCAATGCAGAAATTTCCCTAACTGTGCTATTCGTTTTCAGTATGTCCATTTAAAGGATGTTTGTGAAAATGTATGGATTGTACACTTAGTTACTTAATTCTGGAATTTAAACATATATTGCGTGTTGGAGTTGTAGTTACTGGTCTTCATTTTCAAGACCCTTTTACCTGTTTATCACTAGAAAAGAAAATGAAGATAATTTGATTGTATTTAAACTGCACACAGTTGATTTAATTGTCTTTCCTGTCCAGGTCAAAGAATATTGCCAAGCAGCCTTCAGTCCAAGGTTTTTTTGAAACAGGTCATATCACTTAGGCTCCCAGATATGCTGAGCACCGATAGTGGAAAAAGCGTCATTAGCCTTGTGTCAATAGTTAATTAAAAATTTTGCTTTCACTGTGAAAATATAATTTTTTTAGCTCAGTTGCATTTTTGAAAGTAGAATAAAACAGCATTGCAATGTTTATGGATGTCTGTGCATTTCATTATTCCAGTTTTCGGGTCTCTGTGGATTTGCTTCATCAAGAATTTGGCTGGAATTAGCCCCACTTTCCTATCTGACTTTTCTATTAAGTCATCTCTTCTGAGGTTTCTAAATTTCTAGAGCTCAGGATTTTAGCTACATCGAAATATTTTGTTTCCGTCTCTAACCTTGAGTACTTCTGAGGTGCTAGACTGTTCCTTACAAAAATAATGCTATTTATTTTCACTGTCAAAGGGCCATGGAATTTACCAGAAATTCACCTATTTCATACACTAAATTATGTTTAACACTACCTTCAGATGGTGGTAATTTTTACTGATGTACCAGCATCGCTAAAGATCTTGAAAATGTGTTATTTAAAATTTAATATGATGTATAATTAAAAGGCTTTTACTTTGACCAAAAGAACCTATGAAGTTTCAACTAAAAATTGAGATAGAGATACTATTGAGATAGAAAAGCTAAGTTAATACTTTTTTACATCAAATAATGAAATATTTTCAGCATTATCAGATTTATTTATTCTTTATAAGAAGTTCAGACAAAAATTGATTTTGGTGTTTCAGCTCCATTATCATCTTTACTACTAAAATACGAAATTTGCATTTGTAGCTTTGTGTAAGTATTTCAACAATACCGTTACAAGAATGTAGGCACTCATAATAATTGTCTACATAATGTGCTGTGTGCATTTCTACTAATGCACCATGTAATTTTTGAGACAGAGCTCACTTTTACAAAAGTGGTTTTTGAAATATGGTAAGGAAGACCTTGTACTTTTTGTTCAGGTTAATTATATTAGTAGGCATTCTGTGTTAGGATCTTGACTACATGGAAATTATTTTTGTCTTGTAACAATATACTCAATTTTGATTTGTGGCATCTAGAAGTTTACAGTATGCACTAGAGTCATCAAGTTTACGAAAATACAGATGAAATAAGAAAAAAAGGCCTTTCCTACCCAGCTTATTGTTGCTGCAGATTCCTGTAGAAAAAAAGAGGGAGGAAGGAAGATTATAAATGGAAAAAATATAACAAAATTACAGATTATTTGATTAAGCAATTCTTATTCAACAAGTTCTACTTTTTTCTTTTTGTAGTTATTTAGTTTTACAGAAGGTGAGTCAAGGGGCAGGGCAATTAAAATGAGGCACTGCAATTAATTGAAGCTGATAAGAAGTACTGATGTATTGTTGTTCTCAATTTTAAAAAGAAATCTAAAATTTGAGGAATTTTTTTATAGGACTGTCACTTAGAATTTTTAGAATATATACTTGAATAGATTTTTATCATAACCAAGCACAATTAGCCTTACACATTAATTTTGGTTTTACCGGATATTTGTTACAAAGTTCCCCATAACTCATGTAGAGTAAAGCAGCCTGAATACATCAGTTGAAATAAAATATGAATTAGTATGTTTAATGATATTTCTGTCTTTTTTTTAGTGGATCAGATGTTCTGGGAAGTTATGCAGCTGAGACGAGAGATGTCACTAGCAAAACTTGGCTATTACAAGGAAGAGCTCTAAGTCTTATTACTCGTGTGCGTGCATGGACTTCATTGAATATACATAACTAAAATGGCTGAATCTTTTTTTTGTCACTTGATATTTATTTCCACAAAGTGGGTCCAAGATCTTTCTCCTTTTGCAGATGGCACTAAGAAGTACTGTGATTGTTTTAAACTGACCTATGCTGTATATGCGTACATATAATATTTAGTTGAACAAATGTGGTAAACACTTGCAGGTGTATTAGTGATTGTAATTTACATTTAAAAACAGAAATTCTGATTAAAGTGTTAATCTGAAACAGCCTCTGTCTTCTGTTGTTTGTGACGCAGAATAATGTGAATCTCCCCGAGAAGACATTCTAAAATGTAAAAATGAGATGATTTTGTGAAGACAGAATAAATGCCTGACATGTTATTCATTGTAGTGTTCAGATACATATATGTAGCTCTCTCTGCATACATGCCAATACAGTTAACAGACAATTAGAGAACTTGGAATTCTTTGAAGTGCTGCTTTCCTATGCTTTTAATTTTTAAAAACATGTAAGAAGAGAAACATATACAGCATAATAAACCTGAGTATCTTCTCTTTAAAGTAGGATGCTTTTTGAATATCAAGGAACAATAAAATTATCTTGTTGACACTTTGGTTAGAAATCTGTCCTGACCCCTGTCTGACTGCTAAAAACTTTCTCTTTCCCTCTGATTTTCTGTCATTAAAATGTTTTCATTCCTTTAAATGGTTTTTTTTTTGTTTTTTTTTTTAATCCTGCCTTTTTTTTGGGTTTCAGTGCTTTATACATCATTTTCCCCACAACTGCCCTTGAAAGTGGGAAATTTCCATGATGTGATTTCTTTTAACATGTTGATGATAACTTCCATATAATGATATCAGTTTTTTCACACGTACAGATTGTGTCAGACAACCCTAAAAAGGATCATGGCCTCTTAAATATGCATTTTAAAGTGTTACTTTAGGACTTGAAGTTCAAGTGGTCCTTTTTTTCTTGGACATTGTCTAAGCTGAAAGCAGACAGCTGATGAGGTTACAGGAGCATAGTTGTGGATATGTACTAGACTTGCCCTTTTGGAAAAACGTTAGATCTTGATCCTGACAGCCATTTATCAATTGCACTTAAGATTAAAGCATTGGCAAGTAAACAGACAAACATTAGAAGGAGAGTTTATATAGTTGTTTTTTTAACAAGAAGCATGTCAGTGGATACAGATCTCTTTGATGCTGAACAAAACCAGCGCTATTCATCACTGTCTTACTGGAATGTTCTCTGTTTTCACAAAAGTAATAGAATGAGCAGTGAAATTTAATACCATATTTGTGTTGCTTGTATGTGCCTGAAAACACTTTTGCAAGTGTTGGCTTCAACCTGGCATTTTAATGTTAAAATTAAAACAAACAGCTGAACCTAAACATTTTACAAGTAATGGAGTATGTATGTCCAACCTGGACTGTTTCAGTACTGAAGAAATATTTTTATCTATCTCCTCTCCCTGGGTACTACTTGCTGTTGGAGACACCTGGAAAAATTCTACCATAAATTGTTAAAGGGTTGTTTATTCTTTCAATAATGCTAAGGAAGTCTGGTTTTACTGACTCTTAGAAAACAAGCTGTGTTTGTTGGTATTATGTTTTATGCTAGACTCATAAATGCTTCCTAAATGATTGTTAATCCTGAGTTTACATAATGAGGTGCAACTGTGTCCATGATTAACTGACAGTAGGCAAATGGTAGCCAGTAGCTGTTGCTATTCTGACTTAATACTCTTTACAACAACTAAGTCCTGTTGCTCATTCAAGCAGAGAGAAGGGTTCTTTCTATACATGGTAGTATCTAAAATGTATTATGCTGAGGTGATTTTCTTGTATTAGGGATAACAGAGATGTACCCCGTGTATCTCAGTGGTAATGACTGTTTGGCTCAATTACATCAACATCTTGTAAATACTGACTGGCTTGCTTCTGTCTTCAAGTCCCTACTCTGAAATTCTTTTCTATATTTTTAATATGAGCTGTTTATCATGAGAAGCCTGTGTCACCGTGAGTGCTCAGGGCTTGTAAAAACTGCACAAGAGTTACTTGTGTGGTGAATGTAATTACTTCAGAAAATAACCTAATTCCAGAGTTGACTTCATTGAAATTTTTGTTCAAAACCAAATGCCTCTTTCAGTTGCCTACTCAAAACATCTGAATATTTTTGTCCTGTTTGCTTAGGGGTGACAAAATGGGCCAATTTTAGTGTTTAAAGATGAAATCAGAGAAAATGAAATAGAAAATAGAAAATAGGATTTGCTGCTTAGCAAGAGCAAAGAGCTTTGTTCCATGTTTAGCTTTCCCATATGTTTTTCAATGCTACCTCAGATAAACAGGTAATTCTGTAATTTAATTTTGTTAGTAACAATTAGAAATTTTAGTTCCCTACTAATGATGGCTTTGCTCTTGCATTTTTGATTACTATTGATTTCTTCAGTAGTATTAATTATATGACCTGTGTGAAAGTACAAAGACAAGATAAGTAATTTTTATTGCTGCATTTTTTGCGCATGTGTAATTATAGTTAGTACTGGGACCAAAGGTCCTTGAAGCAAGAACATTAGACTTACTTACCGGATAGAATACACATCACCTTCACCTTGCCTCAAAAGGCTTGTCAGATTTTCCTTTATGTGTAGTTTAAGTCCTTTACATAAAGCTTAAGTATAACTGTGGCTCTAGTTATGGAGGAATGAAATCAGCTGGGACAAATTCATTGAAACCTCTGAAAAAAACATGAAGTGTTCCTTGGCATGTTGGTAATCATCTGGAGAAGAAACAGTGCATTTTTCTCAGCGGGAACTCTTCAAGCAGTAGGAAAGCAAAACAGTTCTACTGGATTTTCATGGATGTGGTGGGAGAAAATGAGGCCTTACAGCAGTTCTTTGAAGGTAAGAGTCTAGTTTCAAGAGGAAGTCTTAAAAATTTTTGGTGGCAGCAAAAACACAGTAATTGTTTGGGGGTAACTGAGGAAGGAAGGAGGAAGATGAGCCCTGAAACCCAAAACTCTGTTTACACAAAGCTATTTTGTAAGGCAATGAAATAGTACAAGTGGTACAGATGTGCAGCAGTGCCTTTTTCTTTGTACTCCGGCCAGGAAACCAAAAGACAGGTGGACTCAGCAGAGCCTGCAGTACTGCCATGGTAATTGCCTTGAAGAAAAACTGGGAAGTGAATGAGGTCTCCTTGCAAGTTATCACTTCTGAAATCTTCGTGATTTTCATGAGGTTGGAGATCTTGCTCCCTGCTCAGTCTTGTCAGGTTAAAGAGGGTTTTCTTTCCGCTGATATTCTTCTGAAATGGCCTGATTGAAATTGGTAAAATGGTAATTGTGGCAGTATCAGGATCCTTCTGAGAAGGTAAACTTGGATATTTTTGTCTTTTTCCTGGGATCATCTGTCATTCTGACTTTTTCCCAAAGACATTTTCTATTCAAGCAGGTCACATTAATTTCCTGACTTTTTGTTACTGCATAATTTACTTTCTAATGGATTCCATGATAAAACTGCATTTCTTAGGCTCTGCAATAATGCGATCCAAAATGGCTGTTCAAAGGCTTTTTACTTTTTATTTTTTATCAAGAATTTTCTTTCCCTTTCTCCCATTTGCACTTTGCCTTTATTTATTTTTTATTAACCTTTTTATACTAAACTTTTTCTGTATTTGTTCTTCTATTACCTTTACGGGTATTCATGTGATCCTGATCTCAAAGTAACTTGGCAAGCTTTACCTTTCTGTTGTGATTTTGTTTCTTTTTTTTTCCCTGCCCCTCTGTTGGCCTTGGTGAGAGATGGCAATTGTAACTTTTAAGTTTTATTTTCAAACTAAGAAATTGAAGATTCTCCAACATTGATCAAGAAAATGTATTTAAGAGAAGAAATTTGAATCAGTGAATCATGAACTAGGGCTGCTAGCTAGCAAATGTGTTGTTTATAGATGTTAGGAAATTCATACCATGTTCCTTAAGTTCAGTTTAAGTTGTGGAGGTTAAAAACTAAGAAACTTTCTTGGGTTTGCTTTCAGCAACATACTTTTTACCAGGCTGTTTGTTCAGCCACTGCATTGCATAGCTGATAAATGCTCAAAATAGTGTTGGGCATGAATTATATAAAAAAATCTCAGAATTTTTTTTTTAGGAACCTGCTTGGAAAACATGATTTTCTAGGGAGTAGTCTAGGTTCTGTTGGCTTTTATGACACTGATACTGTGATGGTAGTATTGCAGAAATTTTACCTGTATGAGCTCTTTAACTAGAATTACTACTTTTAATTCTATAATTAGTAGTTTAACTCTTTTTAGAAGATAGCTTGGTAGTCTGTGCCAGTGTGAAAGGAAGAAGCCCTGTTGATTCCAATTAATTGCAGGAAAAATGAAACATCTTGGGATGTCATGTTCCTTTGGTGATGTCGTGTGGTTCTGCTGTGTCACACTAGAACGTGGCAAAGGCCTGCTAATGCCATACGGTGTGCAGGGATGCCGTTAGATGGCTGAAGTTCGTTTTCTGAACGCAGATATGTGTCAAGGCTACAAGAGGTAATCATTCATTCAGTATGGGATAGACTTCTCTTGCTGTTAAACCATAGGTAAGTCTGAAAAGGGAGAAAACTGAATTAAAGTGGTGTTGGCTCTCTTTTCAAGCAGGGGTTACATTTACTAAATACAAAGCCAGCTCTAACTTATGGCCTCTCTCCAGTTTAGCACTACAGTTTGTGGGCTGGCTTTATAACACCAGCTCAGGACGCAAGAGTCAGACTGCTAGTGCTAATTTGGTGATCTCTGCGAGTAGTCATAACAGTGTTAGAATATTGTCTTTCCAGGCTATGAAAAAGCTGAATCCTGCAGTATCAAGTGGAGAATGGTGATCGGTGGTTCAGTTTTGGCTTACAAACTTAGCTGGCAGCTGAGCTCATTTATAGATCTGCTATGTAAGATGATTTGAAATTCATGAGCAAAAAGGATCCCATTTACCCTGTTGCTTTAATTCCTTACAGGGCATGTTTGTTTTGACACTCGTTAGTAATGTAAATTTGCATCTGCAATATTAAGAGGGGACAGTCTGAAGCAAGATTTTTTTTCAAGGAAAGTGAGATAATTGTTTTCTTGATGATCACTTCTTTCAGTAGGTCATAGACCTCTTAGATTAGATATGACTCTGGGATTTGACCTTGGCCTTTTCTCATTCAAGTAAATGGCTTTTCTCTTGCCCTGTGGCTGTTTTGGGAAGTTCTTTTCTTTTTTTCTGTTTCGTTTCACT